TCGATCTGATCGAAGGGCTTTAATTTCTCTCCCTAACTGTTTCTCGACCTCTTGTCTGAACTCTTTGAACTTTTCAAAGGATTCAGACTTTTGTCTCATTAGGTACATGTAACCATATCGTGAAAAATCATTTGTGAAGGTGATGAAATACACGTGTTGGTTCCGTGTCCTAACTCTCAGGGAACCACATACATCAGTATGTATTAGGTCAAATGTGCTTATACATCTTTCCGGCTTACCGTTAAATGGCCGTTTCGTCATCTTGCCTTGTAGGCAAGGCTCACAGGTGGGAAGATCTTTTACAGTTAGAAAATCCAAAGGGCCATCCTTTACCAACCTTGTGATTTGATCAACACCTATGTGGCCAAGTTGGTAATGCCACAGACACGTGGGATTAACTATATCACATGCTCTCTTCTTGGGGATTTTAGCTGACGTAGTTTCGGTTATGTTTGTTTCTAGAGAAGGTTGTAGAACATAGAGACCGTTCTCCAGTTCCCCATATGCGATGAATCTGTTGTTTCTTTTAATAGTAATCGTATTACTAAAGAAGACAGAATAACCATCTACACATAGTTTTGAAACAGAAATCAAATTTCTCCTTAAATTTTGTACATAAAGACAATCTTTTAGTACAATCGTTCTTTCTCTAAAAAGTAACACCACGGTTCCTATGGCCGCGACTGCAATAGTTGCATTAGTCCCCAAGTAGAGTGTGACTTCTCCTTCACTTAGCCTTCTACTTACCTTGAACCCCTGCAGTGAGTTACACGCATGAGTTGAAGCCCCAGATTCAATACACCAAGATGCAGAAGCTACCAATAAATTGGTTTCTATAACACAAGTTTCGAAATTACCTTTCTTGGATTTCAGGTAGGCAGGACAGTTCTTTTTCCAGTGGCCGGTTTTCTTACAAAAATGACAAGCATCTGATGCCTTGTCCTTCCTCTGTTTCTTGGGTTTGGCAGTCTTCTTCTGGGGTTTTCTCTTTACCTTCATTTTCTTGCCCGATTTGCCAGTTTCAACAAGCATGGCAATGGGCTCATCATTTTTAATCAATTCTTCGGCCCTCTGCAACATATTGCTGAGTTCCTGCAAGCTGATGTTCAGCTTGTTCATGTTGTAGTTCATGATGAATGGATTAAAGGATGGAGGCAGAGAGTTGAGAATAGCATCGATCTGTGTTACCAAATCCAACCCGGATCCAAGAGCCTCCAGTTCGTTGATATAGCCCATCATCCGAAGACAATGGTCATGAACTTGTTGCCCCTTGGACATCTGCACGGTCATGAACTTTTTCAAGACCTTCTGCCGAGTAGAACGATTATGCTCTTCGTACATTGTCTTCAGACTGTCCAGTACGTCCTTAGCTAGTTCGATCTGATCGAACTGCCTTTGAATTGGATTGTCTAAAGAGGCAATGATATAGCAGCGGGCAAGGGAGTTTTTCTCCTCCCATTCTTAGTATTCTCTTCTCCTGGCCTCGGAAGCCCTATCTCCCGGACGATCCGGAGTAGGATTCTTGGCTACCTTATCCAACTTTTCAGAGGTTAAGACCAACATAAGGTTCCTGTATCAGTCGGCATAGTTTGGGCCCTTCAACTTGTTGTCATCAAGCAATCTTGCGAATGATCCATTTGCCATTTTCTGATAAAAGAGCAAACATCAGTCCACAACCTAATTTGATTCATGTTCATTTCATAAATATGGATTTTAATCTACGTTCCA